TACACTCACCTTTTGCTTTGAAAATTAACTTCTTTTATCTATGATTTACCTTCACAGCCTTCATTCTAAAATATATTTTTCCCCTCTGAAAAACCAAAAACCTTTCCTTTTATATGCACTTGTTATTTATAGCAAGTGTATAGCCGCCATTTCTTAAAATAACTCACACTCACTCAACACCATGAATACTTACACATTTATATGTATATATATATATATATATAAGTATTTTCTAATTATTTTGAGAACAAAATAATTACACCAATCATTACAATTCTAAAGATTCCCAAATTTGAGGAATTCACCATTACTTACTGAATCTGATGGAATTAAAGTCAATTCCATCCAAAAGGGTTTAAATGACATAAATACACTCATTCCACTATTAAACCCTAGCCGCTACTTTCTTTCATCATTGCTTTCATCGATCAGAGTTCGAACGTTGCTTCCGGGTCGGCTTTCTCATCTACGAACCTGTTTTCCCAAACTTGAACCCGTTTACTGCTTCGATTTCTCAAACCCGAACCTGTTTACTGCTTCGATTTCTCAAACATGAACCTGTTAACTGCTTCAATTTCTCATTTACGAACCTGTTTACTACTTCGATTTTTAATTTCTCCATGAACCTGTTATTTCTGCTTCGATTTATGATTCGATTTATGATTTATCAAACATGAACCTGTTTACTGCTTCGATTTCTGATTTCTCATTTACGAACCTGTTATTTTGTTTTCTCTTTTGGTTACGTTAGACCAATGATCAATTGGTGGTAAAAACAATATTTTTTGGTTACTCTAGACCAATGATCGATTTATATTGCTTGGACAATATTTTTGTTACATATTGCTTGGATGCTATGGTTCGACAACTTCTACCTATGTGTGAACACTTGTTCGTAACAATATTTATATATGGGTATTTGATGTATCAACTTGTATGAACGGTTTGGTTTATGGTTGCTTGAATTTTTACATGTTTTATGTTTATATATGATTCAATAAATAGTAAATATTTTTTTCCTCATTAAATGTTAATTTTATTGTTATTTGTAATTAAAAAAAATTTAAAAAATATTAAGGAAATGATATTTTTGTCTTTTTTTCATCATTACATTCCAATTTTATTATAAACCAAACAGACATATTCCAATTCATTGGACAGATTAAATTTCATTATTATCAACCAAACATTTAGTCAAAACCTGATAACATTTCATTCAAATTGTTTTCATATCCAAATTTCTTTAATAGATTACATTGGTTCAGAAATCATTAGAAAACTAAACGTGGCTTTTTCCCTAAGACGTGGATTCCTTTTGGTCTATATGTTTACTGTCTCCATTGTTGATTTCTCCATTGCTCGGTTTTCTTCTTCATACATCACCCTTCGGGTTTGATTTCTCTATTCCTCGATTTTCCTCACCTGGTTTGCTTTCTCCATCGCTTTTCATCTCTACTTAGGTTTCGATAAGCAATTTCTGCTCGAGTTTTCTACATCTCAGATCAAGTCTTCGATCATCGAATTTTTGTGTAGTTTCTAATGCATTGTGTATCTTTACCGATTGTGCTTTTTCTCAGTAGACTGCTTGGAACGTACCTTGTTTAATAAATCTTTTTTTTTCCGGTAGTTTTTGCATGACTATATCTAGAGGTGATTGGTGGTTTTTAAGGAATATGTGTTTGAACCATGTTCTTTGCTTTCCTGTTATTGATGTAGATAACAATGTTGCTAAAGGGTTTCAAAATAGAGATTTACGTTGACCTTGAACAACCAACATCGAAAGTAACATGGGGTACTTAAAACAGCAGTACCAATGTTGACGGAAGAACTTGCTATATGCAGAATACAATAGAGTGTAGTTAAAGATTCATACGTAATTATCTTGAATAGATTAACCATCTCAATGTGGGTATCTTGTTGGTTCGTTCGTCTTTCCATGAAGTAGAACTGTGAGCACAATGAAACATGATACTTGTATATAAGTCTTGTGTTACTTGTATATTGCTTTCACTGTTGGAATATATTTTCTATTTGGTGTCCTTGGACCATTTATGTAAAGTTTTATGAAATTAAGGATATATTTATAATTCAATATATCTGTGATTG